TTATTTGTTGTGTCATTCAGCGTCAACGGGTACACGAAGCTAGAGTCCCTTTATACACATATCTGAGGTATGTAAATGTGTCGAAATGGACATAGTGCGAGTGGTTAGTTTAGTGCTAGTAGCACTAATCCGAAAAACTACTAGATCTAGTGCAAAAATGGCACTAGATCTAGTGCTAACACGAATTGTGAATAGATATACTGTATGAAATGGTATTGTGAGGAAGTTTGTGTTTTCAACTTTGGCGAATGTAAATGGTGGAATTCAGCGTTGATTTTTTTTTAAATCGCTGATGTGCCGTTTTATTTCTGGTCGGCGCCACACTTAATGAAAATAGATCTTCGAAAATGAAATTATGGTGCCATATGTGAACTAAATGAAAAATTGGTATACTCCTAGTCTAAGTCCCGGGTCCCTGTAAAGCTCGGTGGATTTTGTGTGTACTGCGACCTGTGAATGGGCATATACATATTCATGCACTCCTGTTGTTACATTGTATCATAGAGGTACTAACGGAATATGATGTAACCTCGCCGATTTTTTAACGTGGCCATATTATATATGTCTAGACACTTTCTCTGCAATAATATTTTTTAGGAGCCCTTAGGATTTTTTGTTGTAGACTCTCGAAATCTTGTTCTTGTTACAGTTGCTAATAATTAAAACATGTGAAGTAACAAGTTTGTCTGTTGAATTTCCGGTTGTGAAATACGTATTTTTACCCTTCACAGCTAAACAAAGTGTATGGTCGCGTTAAAAAAAATGGGACCACGAAATCGTCCAGGGCTATTTTTCGGCAGTTTTTAAATTTTTTTTTGAAAACATTTTGTCGTAATTTATCGGACATTTCAATCGTTCCTGACGCCTAAGGGATTGGTCAGTTACTTCGGCATAGGGGGGTGGATCAGTAGGGGGGGGGGTACCCTGTTTTTGATTGTGCGAATAGGGGGGGTCACCTTGTTTTTGATATCATGTTTTCCAGAATTCACACACGCGCTCATGCATATATTTTTTAAAATTTTATTTCAAAACAAATGATAAAAAAGTTAATCGTACAAATGTGTTCTTAATAATAACTATTACCTATAAATTTGTTGATGCAAAAAATGTTATAGGCTAAATATTTTGAGGTTAAAGTTGCCAAATAACTAACAGATTATGCAATGCGGTTAGAACCCCAATTATACAGTTAAATTTTAAACACATCCCAAGTCCATGTGCTGCTGATATCAGATTATTTTATTTAAAGTCTGAAGTCACCATTGTATAAGATATTTACTGGATTTATCCAATCATAACAGGAGACGGGAAGACAACACAGTAATTAGTACAAAGAGCAGTGACAGTTTTTGTTCAGCAAATCAAAAAAGTTAAAATTGTGAAAATGCTGATATATAAAAAAATTAAAATAAATGATGAAAAAATAAATAAATAACTAGTTTTTTTGTTTTTTTTAACTTTTAAATATGCATATTTTGCTCTGTAAAATACCAAAATCCAACACAAATTTAAGCAAAATCAAAGTTTCCTTTGTTTT